AACAAAAGAAGTTAGCAGAACATAGTAACACAGTAGACAAAGTGGCTGTTCCGTATGACAGAAACATCCTTAGACACACCTCACATCTAGAGGTGAGTCGCCTGGGTCTCCTTCCCTTTAATAGGGGCATGGTTCTGACCTTTTTTTTTTTTTTTTTTTTTTTGAGAGGTTTTTGCGATGGGGCACGTGCACTCGCCAGAAAGACAGAGAGAGACAGAGAGACAGAAAGAGAAATCACCCCTCAGGAGGGATGGCTACGCCATAGTCCTTTCTTCTCCATTCTCTTCTGGGGATCTTGGGCACTCATGCACACATGCCCAGCGTGAGTTTAAGCCACCAGGTCTGGGACTTGAACCGCGGTCGATTACATGGGAGTCCAGCAACATAGCCATTATGCCAACTGCTGGTCCCGGTTCTGACAATTTTAAACAAGGATGTAACAGAAAAATCTTATGAAACTTCCAAGATGACAAGATGAAGTCCTAAAAGGTTGTGCCGATCAGTCTGTTTTCTTAATGCAGTTGCCTAAGAAGCTCTAACCAAGGCCTGCCCAGCTGAACTCTTCCCAAATGCTTCACCCACAAAAACATGAACAGAATAAAATGTCTTATTTTACATTACTAAATTCGAGGGGTGATTTCCAATGTAGAAATGGTAACAAAACAGGTAGTGAAAAGTGAGTCCTGAATTAAGACATCTGCAATTACAGTGGTAAGGGAGGCGACTTGTAAAGAGGTGACTTGGAATTATAGGATTTAGTGACTGATTAGATGTGGGAAACACAGCAAAGGAAGGAAGCAAGATATTGTCATCATATGTCTAGGCAAACAGTGGGATTCTAATCCATCAATGAAATATTTCATTAGAACAACTGCCTTATTAACTTTACTCACTCAGTTGATCATTTATTTAGCAAATGGTTATTAAGTGTGCAGTGTGTGTTCATCAGTGTGTTGTAGACTAGCAACACAAATAAAAAGACAAGTGTTAGTCACAAAGGCCTTTCAGTTTAGAAGAAGCATTAACTTTAAGATAGTGTTTTAAATGCTATGAAAGAGTCAGCCCAAGTGAAACAGAGACAGAAAAGATGAATTAAAAGATGGGAAGCTCCAAAGCCATCCAGCAATATCACTTCTGTCACTTTCTCCTCTGATCTATTCCTTGCATTTGTATCATTCTAACTTGGATAGACAGAATTCCTGTACTATTGAGTACTCATCTCCATCCTACTAGGTAAATATTTTAGTCTAATTTCTTAGTCTAGTAGGAAAGCCTCTCCATAAATGCCTCCGTAAACATGGTTCCTGTAGTCTTCACTGACCTCCGTCACCAGTAAAACTGGGGTGTTGTTATCTTTGGAATTGGTTTTATCCTTAGATTCTGAAAAGCTTTGCCCTCTGGGCCCATCTGACTGGAATGTTCTCCTGTCTTGTCTCTTCTTCTCAAAGTCCAAATAGTCAAATCTCAACTCAAGTTATATCTCCTTATTAAAGCTATTATATCACAATATTTTCTCACTTTCTAAATTTCCACACCACTTTGTGATTAAATAGTTCATTGAGACTTGTATGGCATTAATCTATCTGTATACCTTCCTAACTAAATGCTTTTATAGAATAAGTAGCAAAATTCATATTTTAGGTCTCTCCTACCTAGCACTGTGAATTATACCCAAGGGTCATCTGGCTAGTGTTTCATGGTGCTGATGATATTGCTGGTATTGATCTTGTTTCCTACTATCGCAAATATTTCATATAGTTGAAGCTGATCCAATATTTAAAATCCTGTAAGTGGTTCCCTTATTAATTATTTATTCCTTTGAAAGTAATTTGTCATTTAGGAATGAATTAATTTTGTTCTTTAATTGTTTACCCCTTTTCAGAAACTGGAAAATGGTATTATTATAAGCCACCTGGTTCTAGGAATCTTATATATTAGAAAGTAGAGACTATGATATTTGTACCTATTTTCTCCAAATCCTAAATTTTCTAAGGAAGAAATTGGGTCTTCAAATAAAATTTCTAATAAAAAATTATTAATTAACATATAATTTTCATTCAAACCATATCAAGGAGCGACTATAAGTGAGACTAATCTCTCACATTATTAACCAGGGTAAGTAGTTTAGCTATATATGTACTGATTAGACAGTGCGTAATATTCTAAGTCCAGAGCCTATTCAGAAACACCTTAGTCACATAAATACGTTGAGGAGAATAAGGTAGATGGCGGAGAAACATGTATTTTCTCAAAGGTTAAGGAAATCCTGATGATCTGTAGCAAGGGCTAATGGTCTACTTGAAGTGTTATTTAAGCCTCCCCTGGGAAACAGAAAGTAACTGACCCTGATGAAGTTCATGTTGACCAAAATGTTGGTTTATTTGTGCGTGTCATCTTACAATTCAAAAACAACAGACATAATGCTTCTCACATTCCTATTACTTATTTGCCACACAGGGACAAAGAGCCACAAAATGCCATAGAATCTGACTTTATTTGATTTGACTTTTTTTAATGATATTTTTCACCAGTCCCAAGTTGGCTATGAAATGCTGGTGAATAAAATGTCAGGGTGTGGTCTCTTTCTGTTACTCAGTTTTTCATTTCCTTCTACAGGAGTAAGCCAGCGGGAGGGTGAGGACACAGCTCTGGAGTGATAGTTAGAAACGTTACACATGTTTCTGCACTTTGCCTTCTGATTCTGCCATGGTCTGACACTGAGTTCTCGAAGGGTGGCTGAGACCTTCAGGGTCTCTGGACTTTTCTCCTGTGTTAAGTGTTTACAGTCTGACCAAGCCCCTGCTTCTGCTTCAGACAGGGAGTGAAAGTTCACTGGGAATACTTAATGTGATCCAGACGTCACCATGATGGTGTCTCACTCAGAGGAGAGGCAGTCCTCCCATTCACTCTGGCCAGGTGATTTCGCAACTGCAAACACATGGGGGTGGGGGTTACAAAGGTCTTTTTTTGTTTTCTGCCAAACATATTTAAATCAATTCCTTTACTATCTGTCTGGCAATTTGAATCTCATGAATAAACTGAACCTCAAATTTGTATTTCTTTTTCCCCAGAGAAGTAATAAAGTTTGATATCATAAACGGAATAGTGTATTAAGCATGTTTAAAAGACAACTCCTATACCAATTAATACATTTTCTAAGTTTCAAAATATATTTGAGTTCTTCAAATGTAATATGTTTTAATTTTATTTAATGTACCTCTTGGATTCTATGTCATTGAATGGAGATGCTATGAGTTAATGTTTATCAATGAGTATGATGATTACCAAAGAGCAGGGAAGTGAGGGTGTTGATGGCCAATTTATTTGATGACTTTGGAAGCCAGAGTGGAATGAAGCTTCATTCCTCTCTCAACACGTCCAGTAGAAGGAATGTTTTTATAAAACATAGTGCTAAGAAATTGCAAAAATGGAGGAGTGAGGGCACAGAGAGGAAGGCAAGGACAAGATGGGAGATGCATTCAAGTTCTTATTTTTGACCAACTCATGATGAATATTATTTCTTCCTTGTCAAGAAAGTAAATATCTATGGTGGTAGGAGTTAGCCCATGGAGATCTGGAATATTGAAAGCTTCAGGTTATAAGGTAGAACACAGGGGCAGGGATAGGTTTATTGAAGACAGATTATAGACCTGCCGAGTTAATTTTTGATGTTAGCAGATATTACCCCACTGATTATAGCCATGACCTTATTTTCATTAAAAAACTATTGGTATTTGGGATATATGATGCCTTAGGCTCATATATCCCAAATTTTTAGACCATTCATAATTTATTTTTAACAAGATAGTTGAATTATTCACATACTAGAGCATAGACTCAATAAGGTTCAGAATTGGAGTGTTTACGGGTGTTTGAGACTGGGGAAGAGGGTGTAATGATCTCTTAGTGTCATGAATGAGAGAGATATATGTGCATAATGGACCCTGGAGGACAGAAGAAAAGGGTGAGTGGAGAGAAAGGGAAGGAATAGCACCCCTTAATTAACATGAGGAGTAAGACTGGTTCTAAGATGTAAATTCGATTGAATAGACACACAAATGTATGTATTTATGTGTGTATTTATGTATACTTTTCATGTCACACCTAAGCTTCCAGAGTCCAGAATTACAGAGTGGGAAACAAAGAATACTGTGTTCAGTAAGAACAAGAAGATCTGTGTCGGAAGATGGAAAACTTCTTTGTCAATTAAACTCATTTGAACTCACTTTCCGGATCTGAGTACCACCAGTGGCTTATGCTTGCATCGGCTGTTTAGGATTTAGACGACTGCCTTGCACCACTTTTCCAGTTGCAGAAGCACAGTGGGCTAATCTGCAATGGACTGGGTTTTTTTTAACCACCAGAAACAAGGCCCTGGGGAAACTCCTACTGAGGAGTGATTATTTTAGACCCCATTTTGCAGTTGCTTGATTAAGGGAGTGAAGGGAATCCAAAATCAAGATGATTCTGTCCAGATTCCAGGGCCTCCTTTGTATTTTCCTGTGGGCATTTTAAAACTAGAAACAGTCCTATTTACTGCAGTGTTATCTCCAAAATTTGCTGCTTCACAGCTTCCTAAGCACAATAAGTTCCCACAGATGTAGACTATAAATGCAGAATTTAGCTTGGGAAAGATTAGGTAGGAGTGGGGGGTTTTTACCCAAGATCTGATCTGTTTAGCTAGACATTCTGATAGACATGAAAAGCAAGTCAGATCTTGGTGTAACCAATCCTATTACACAGATGAGAAAATTGGCAGTAAAAAGATGTCATTGCTCAATTCATCCAGCTGGGAAATGACGACACCAGGATAAGAACCCAGTTTGGTGACCCCAATTCTAATGACCTATTCATTATTATATTGTGATATATAGGTGTTCCTGTGTAATGCCAGTAATACAGCTTGGAAATTTGGCTTGTGTGTGTGTTAGAGGAGCAGTATGTGTTCTCTGATTTAATTTTATGTTCATGTCACCTAATTTCTGATTCTTACTTTTTAGTTGTCTCCTAACAAAACCATTGAGGCAGTGCTGAGAAAAAGCGACCGTTACAGAAGCTTTGTGGGATACACATTTCCCTGAGCTCTTAATCACTTTTTTATTTGGTAACACAAGCCCAGTCATGTGACACCATTGAATACAACAACAAGGGAGAGAATGGAACCCACGCAGCAAAGCAAGAAACTAAGAGACTACAGACATTTCTGGGCAGGTCGTGCACTCAGGACCTGGCTTATTGTCTTTTCCTTCCTGACTATGATTATTTTTTCCCCTTGATTAAATGCGTAATAACTAAGAGTAAAAAGAGAAAAATCTCTCCAAGCTTGCCTGTGCAATTCCAGTCTATCTATTATATTACATCATTTTTGACTGTTCAGGAATGGAACTAAGATTCACTTCCTTCTTCTGACTTTAATGTTAAGCTTTGGGATTAAAGCTAAGCAAAAGGAGCCCTTTGCTGTGAAGAGGTCACAGCATAGAAATCCTGGGAGCCGATGAATAGATAACGCAGGATGGTCAGGGCTCTTGCAGAAGGCACAGAGAGCACAGAACACCTGGCTTACAAAGTCTTGGGAACAATGGACAAAGGCTGGGACATCATTCTTAAAGAGAAGCTATCTAAGCATTTGGAATTTGTTATTCAGGCAAGTTAAAGGAAAGGAGGTGTGTTTCTAAGATAAAAAAAAATATATATAAAGGCACACTGAAATGGGTACAATCAAAGGAAGTCATCCCTGTAACTGGAATAGAGGATTTGAGTAGAAGGACAAAGAATTAAATATAAGTTGGGTTTTTTTCCCAGAGTTAATATGCATCCTTACCTTCCCAATATATTCAGTGAGTGTAACTCAGGCAATAGAGGTATTAATGTTTGGGATAGTAATAATTAATGAGGCAAACTATACAAAGAACATGATTCAATGCATTTGTTCTCAAAAGAGCCTGCCATAATTACCCCCACTTTACAGGTGAGGAAATTAGACACAAGGAGGTAAAAATAGCTCATCCAAGGTAAATGCTAAGGTCTTGATTCAAACCACGCATTGTGACACAAAAGTCTATGTTGTTCAGAAGTCTACAACCAACCACTAGGGCAAAACAAAATGATCCCACAGGTAACATTCAACACTCACAATTCTCAAACCAGAATTCATTTCTGGATTACTTTACACATTAAAGAGAGAAAAGGTTTGAGTGTGACTTAGAGTTCTTTGTCTACCCTATTGAAATCATCTTACTCTGTTTGAAGTAGGATGAAATGGCACCACTGCCTCTCTCTCCAACCAGCTTCTGTAAAGTGGCATCAATTTGCAGACAGCTTGGTTTCTAGGCAGGGATTAAAGAGAAAATCCCAGTTACCTAGTGTGGAAAGAGCAGCTAGCTAAAGGAGAGAATAAAAAATATTTCCTAAATCACTGTCCAGTTGGCCAATCTCCAGCTCAGAATGAAGTGCCCATTTTCATGAAGAATAGGGATCACACCCAATTACTTATACTTTGTAGGTAGTATTTTTTCCCTCCAGACATGAAATCTACCACTGAATGAAATCTTTGTAAGTTAGGGGCATAAATAGTCCAACCTCATGGCTGTTTGTGATTATAGCTGGCAAAATGAAAAATTGTTCAGTAGATATTGATAGTTAAAACGACACAGGTTAAAAAAAAAGCAACAGCAAGTTAATCTCATTTAGGACATCCAGAATGAGGAAACCGGGCCATGAGAAAACCCTTGGATCTCAATGGGGATGCTCAGTCTCTGTTCTATTTGACCTTCAAAGAACTACCTTTATCTGGAACAGGTGTTGATGAATGGAGGTGAAAAACCTGACACTTCTTGGCATTTCTCTGCTGGAGAGGAAATTAAACTTCCCTTGGTTTAGTTTCCTCTCTGATTCAGTTACTATTCTCCAGTTAGTGTATGCTATGTGGGGTATATCTCCTAAAGAATAAAGAATGTCTCCTTTCCATGAACAGAATCTGCTGAATGTAAGAATGATATTTATAGGCCCCCTCTCAAGTAGAAGTTTAAATGGTATTTATAGGACTCCTCTCAAGTTTAGAAGTTAATATTTGGGGAAATTTAAACTTGAAGGGTTACCTTTGTTCTTCCATAGTGCCTAACACTTCATGGACCCACAAAAATAACACAGGTAGTTTCTTATACATTCTGACAAGAGTGCTTCTAGAGCAAGGATCAGTAAGCTATACTTCATAGGCTACGTACGGCCCTCCACATGCTTTATTTATGTTCCATGAGCTTTAAGAATGGATCAACTGGACCAGGGAGAAATGTTCACATATTGAAATGATCACCTTGTAAGCTAAAAAATGTGATTGAATGTATTAAAAAAATGTAAAAAAGAATAAAGAATAAAAATAAAATAAAATTTAAAAGTGCTTCTAGAGCAGGGATCAGTAAGCTAAACTTCATAGGCTACGTACGGCCCTCCACATGCTTTATTTATGTTCCATGAGCTTTAAGAATGGATCAACTGGACCAGGGAGAAATGTTCACATATTGAAATGATCACCTTGTAAGCTAAAAAATGTGATTGAATGTATTAAAAAAATGTAAAAAAGAAAAAAGAATAAAGAATAAAAATAAAATAAAATTTAAAGAGAATGGATTTGACATCTTATTTTTAACTATGGAGAAACAATCAAAAGAATAGTATTTCGATTTAAATTTCAGCATGAATACATAGTTTGATTGATTGATTGATTCTCCTTCACTTCCATGTTATCTATGGCTGCTTTTGTATTGCAGTGGCAGAACTGAGGGGTTGTTACAGAGATCTTATGACCTGCAACTCTTATTAAATATTTACTATCTAGTTTGTCAGTTCCTGGTCTAGTACATTAAGAAATGAGTAAGAAAAATATATTCTTTTCCTAAAACTGCAGCCTATTAGAAATTTAATAGTTCTCTAAGGCATTTACAAAAATCCAGTTTAGTCAATAAGGACCTTTGGGAAGCAAGAGAGAAGCACTCATTTCTGGTGAGTATGATTGAAACAAACTGAAAACTGGTCTGAATAAATGTAACAGGTTTGGCATCCTGCATTAAGTCAAATTAAATTCACCAGTGAGCTGCCAAATCGCCACTAATTATTGTGCTGAACCATATGAAATCACAGTTTTTGTAGGTCAAAAATAATTAAGTATCAGCAATTTCATATAGTTCATATTTCATAAGATGCTCTACAAATAAAGGAGCTTGAATATCCATCTTCATCAGCTTCTTCTGTCAGGCATTCCACCTGATTTTGCTTAAGTTTGGAGCACTTAATGTCACAAATGTATATAGAACATGTTCCTTGACAACCTAGTAATCAAGCAATAAATTAAAGTTCCTTCTAAGTATTCTACATGTGAAATAATGTTACAAAGACAGGAAACCAGGACTTGAAACTTTAGCATAAGTAGAATGCTATGTCGCTCCTAAGCACTCAGCATGTTACACTGGACAACACAGGGAGACCTAGTAAGTTTATCATGAAGGAAAAAAATATCATTTCTTTCCTTTGCATCTTAAAATTCCTAGTTTAGCCCCAGAGCTCTAGACCTGTGAAAGAAAAATATAAATAAAAATAAGATCAAGAATCCAAAATAAATGTTTATGTGGATACATGTGCATATTATATGAGTATGTATGTACATACTCATATACACACTATATGTATGTATGTGTGTGTGTATATATACTACTTTATATCATTTTTATGTAAAATAAAATTAGTTTAATTGGAAATGTGTGTATATATATGTGTGTGTGTGTGTGTGTAATCAAGTAAGAAAAAACATTATTTTCCTAGAACTGCAGCCTATTAGAAATATATATATATATATATATATATATTAAATACACTCACACACTTTGAATTTCATAAAATACTTATAAAACTTGATGAAAAGGGCAAAGTCTTCAGGCACAGTGGACAAGCATTTTTCGACTGTTTTTTCTTTTTTTTTCCCATATTTTTCCCATCTTCTCTTTCTACAGGTCTGTAGACCCCTTGAAGGCAAAGGACATGCCTATCTTGTTCACTAGCCATCCAATTCTGCAAAACTTACTATAATTTCTGGGACATAAACATATAGACATTGAACAAAGACTAAGAGAGAGAGAAAACATCTCCAGTAATTCAGATGAAAGAAGCAATCCTGAATTTTTAAAATTTATTTATTTTTGGAGAGGTTTTTGCTATAGGGCATGCACTTTCCAGGAAAGACAGAGAGAGACAGAGAGACAGACAGGGAGAAATCACCCCCCCCCAGGGGGATAGCCATGTCACAATCCCTTCTCCTCCATTCTCCTCTTGGAATCTTGGGCACACACGCACACGCGCCCAGCGTGGGTTTAAGCCACCAGGTCCAGGATTCAAACTGCGGTCAACTACATGGGAGTCCAGCAACATAGCCATCACGCCAACTGCTGGTCCCGCAATCTTGAATTTTAACCTTGAATATTAAGAGATCCAGATCTTTTCAAGCAAATCAGAATCATTCCTCATACATGATCATAGTCAAAAGAAATGTCTTAATAAAAGTGTAATATGGGATTGAGGAAGAGAATAGATTCAAACTTACAGAATGCCTAAAAGATATAAAGCAATCAACAATTCACGTGAGCTAACAGATTCTTTTTCACTTCACACAAAGATTATTAAATTTCTTCCTTTAGGTCTTTTCATTTACTGTTTTATGTTCATACGGGACTGTATTTGTTACCATATTGCTGTTGTAATAAATTACCACAAATTTGGTGCCTTAAAACAGCAGGATTTCATTCTCAAACTTCTGGAGGCCAGAAGAGTTGCAAGATGAAGCGGGGCTGCTCTCCCTCTGGAGGCCCTAGGGGAAAAGCTGTCTTTGCCCTCTCCCTGTCTAGTGGCTGTCAGAGTGCCTTGGCTTGTAGCTGCATCCCTCTGGGCTTCAGTTTTCTGCCATCACCTCCTCTATATATCTTCATCTAATAACTTTCTTCTTCATTTTTACAAAGATGTTCATGATGACAATTAGAGTTTACCCAGATCTTCCTGGATAAACTTTCCTTTTCAAGAGCCTTAACGTAATTTTATCTTTGCCACACTGTAACATTTACTCTTTTGCTATAAATTAATATTCTCAGAATCTGGGGATTAGAAGGATTATTTTGTAGTCTATCACAATAGTGTTGATATTATATTAGAGTATACCTTTAAATTTGCTTTTGAAATTCTTGAAGGGAAAAATATGGACCTGAGGCCAAAGTACCTAACCCACAGCACTAATAAAGATTATTATTC